AGCATGACTGCCTGCATGCAGCAAGAACACATTTTCCCATGAATACCACAGAATGTTCAACACTGAATGTCGATTGAAAGTCTTTAAAAAGTAATTTAAAAATTGAAAAGCAAACAATTTGCCCTCCATCCATTTTCTGTGATTATGCAGCATGTCTTGGGTGAATGAAGGGAAAGAATTAGCTACATGGACGGTAATTTTTAATAAAATAATCAATGACTAATGCAAAATAATTAATGTAATAATAATCTATCAGTTTGTAATAAATGTAATAAGATTTTTTTTAAGCCCGCCTTACTTTCTCATAATGAAAAACAATCCAAAGGAACAATTTCGGATTCCTGCTATCATTGAACTGTTTAATTCAATCATTCATAATGAGTGTAGCCAGGGGACTTGACCTTTTCAAGGGCTGGCATGGTAAAGCGAATGCAGCCCGATGCAGTGTTTCATGCAGTGAACCCACCCACTGCACCAGTCAGTCCTGCATGGAGTCAGTGCAAATCATACTGCATCTGTCCGTCCCATTTTCATCTCAGCACTGGTCTCGGCTCTCGCTCTTCTTTTTTCCCTCTGTGCTCATTTGGCAATGAAGAAAGAATTATACATGACAAAGTCGATTCAGCTGAAAAACACCCCCTCACCACTACTCCCCCCCCCCCCAACTCTTGCTTGGGTTTGGACTTTAAACCAAAATACAGGAAACCGTAAAGAGCAGATCTTCTCGGAGTCAGCAGAACACAGCGGCTGCTGTTTTTCCATGCAGCTGGCTCCCTCGCTGCTTTCTGTGAAGGTCCAGCGTTATGGTCCAGAGACGTGACACGTTGATCCATCTTGAGCAGCATTGTGGTGCTTATAAACTTCCCTTAGTTGTTTTGACGTTCCACTTAATTTTATGAATCGCTCAATCATTTGCGAGATCTATCACGTTAATTGTCTAGCACCGAAAAGTTCTAACAGGTTGACTTAGGGTGAAGAGCTCATCTTGAAGGCTTTCCTTCTGAATAATTAGGAGCGTTTCCCAAAGTTATCTTTGTTTCAAACAGGCACCAGTGCTGTGGACGCGCCCGTGGTGAATGTCATCATATCCAAGCACGGAAGTTACCTCTACATCCTGACCATCCTCCTCATCGTCATCGTCATCGTCGTGATCTTCATTGTGTTGCTGACTTGTCAGTTCAGAAAGCGAGGTACAGAAAGTCCTCCTGCCATTCCAGTGTCATGTGACCTCTGTTTTTACCTATAATGTTAAGTGTCTTTGTTGTTCCAGGGTTGGATTATCACCTACGCAGGACTGAACGGTGAGGATGTGTCCCTTTATGCAGCACAAGACCATATAAAAGTGCCTACAAACATTTTTTCCTGTGTTTAGAGTCCTCTGCATCATCACATGACAGCCAAAACATAACATTATTAATGGGCATGATTCATAGTCAGATTGTTTGTGTGGTGTTATGAAATCAATGTGTTTCAGACGTTATCTTCTGCTCGGTCACGCAGGGGCAACACACCCACTGGTGATGCAGGGATGGGCAGCGTGGAGTTGAAGATGTGCAACCAGGCACTCGACAGGCCAGGTAAGAAGTTGCGGGGGGGGGGGGGCCAATGTTGCCAGGTAACGTTCTTAAGGTTCTTACTTGAAATTGTTCCATTGATGAAAAAATGTAGCAGGGGAACTGTAAGTCACTTAGGAGAAGTGTGATTTACCTTGGATGAAATCTCACCAGGAGAAAGAACATTGTTTGTATATTCACTGTGGCCGTGGTCATTCAGGGGAGAACACAACTATGTATTTCCTCCGTGTCCTAGACTACAAAAACAACATCTGGAAGGAAAGGGTGGACGTCTCGAAACTCCCTTCTCCAAAAGTTATCGACTTGGACACAGGTAACAAAAGCCAGTGTCGTGTAGGAGGCTATGGGGAGGATATATCAGTGTTAGAAAAATAAACGTGTGTCCCTCTTTCTGTGTCCTTCTGCTCCACAGAGATGGAACGAAGGATGTGGAATTAACATGCATCACTCTATTGCTGGCGGGCCCAGGATAGATGCAGACTGAGCTGTTTTTCAAAAAAAAAAAAAGTAAATAAATTGACACCAGTGAGAAGACAGAGCTGGAGTGAGGCACAGAGAACACGGGCCTCGTGTCAATCTGCTGCTTCCAGTGTTTAAGCCCATTGGACCAGCTGTTTCCCGCTACTATTTCACAGACTTAACAGGTCTATTCCGAACTGCTTTTCTTTTGACTCAATAGTTCGACCATCGCTACGTAGTTAAATAAGTTGATTGTTTGGTAATGTACGCTTTAGGTCTTTGTAGGATACTCTTGAAGAATCTATGCACAATTTTAGAGTAATAGAAGGCCAGTTTATGCATATAACATGCTGGCTTGGAGCTTTTCACTGATTTTTTTTTTACTGGCCAAATGTATGTAAATTAAATAAATATATTTGCTTAATATTTGTGTCTGAGACTTAACACTGTAGTACAGTATTAAATCCCACATTGCCTTTGAAGTATTTTATTGCTGTTATAAAAATGTGCATGACTTTTTTTGAACTTCTTGTTTACCTAAGAAGCTGAACCAACAGCAGAAACAGCATAGTTTAGGCATACAACTTAACTTCTTGGACTTAAGACAATTGAATTGTACTGCACTTGCTTGTAATCACTCTGTGGAATAATCATTATAATTAAATAAATAGAGAAACTGCCACACCTTTATCTTGCAGTCAGTACATTTAAAATTGCTGTAATAAACAAAAGCAGAGACCGGACCCTTCTGAAAAAACAGATATAATAATCCATGTTATGGTGGTAACTGGTTTTAGCTGGTATAAGACGGCCTTAGATGGTCATATCCCAGTGATCGCAGTTCTTTGATGGTTTAGCTGGGTCGGGCACCAATTGGCCATGCTGGTGTGGCCAGCTAAACCAGCTAGAATGACCACAGTAAGCTGGTATGACCAGCTAAACTATCAAACCATCACGCAAAAACATACCTTAAGCTGGTCAACTACCATAAATTGGTCAATCAGTTTAAACAGCTTAAGGTGGTCAGGCTGGATTTTTTTTTTCAGCAGGCGAACAACATACATAAACTCAAATTAGCAAATTAGAAAACGGTTAGTCAATAAATGTTCAGAGACAGATAAGACAAAGGTTATTAAATCAGGATGGTGCCGCCACAACTTCACAACATGCAGATTACGCTGCGAATCCAATCTTAGTATCCTCACGTATTGCTGATAATTATTTATTTGTACTTTAATACTCGATTATTGAGGGTATTTATAACATCTATGCCCCAACGTAAATTCCAGAAGAAATGTTATCTGGTTCTGCAAATCGAGATCAGCCTCATAGTCTCACTTTAACACAAAGTAACGACTTCGCAACCGATAAGACCAGTGACTGTAGAGCACTGAATGTTATTGTGCGTGGACATTTTTCAGGGTGCGAACTGCAAAATACAGACAGCTGCACGGCTTGAGGATTAGTCCGCTGGGTTTGTCTGTTTTTTGTAGGTTCGGATGTGAATATGAGCTGTATAATGTAAAGTAGATGTAGTCTGAAATTGGAAGACTGGACGAATACTGGCAAAATTATTTTTAAAAATCTAAGCTCTGCGCCTTATTTACCCTGGAATTAATTTAACATACGTTATTAGCCTGAAGCGGGATGTAATGTTTTTAAAGTAATGAAAATGTCATGTTCATCTAAAATGGTCTATAAAAGCATTTGTAATCTCACATAAATACACCCCATTTCTTAGAGATTCCAGAGCGCCTGTCTTGGTGTTGTATTTCAAATCACAATACCAGACGCATATTTCTTTAATGTTATAAGTAGCGTCTAAAGCTGCCAAGTCTGGCGGAGCGGTGGCAGAATGTGCGAGCGAAATGTCGGCTGGAAGCGGACGAGGAGAGGAAGAGAGAAAACAAAGAACACGGATTTTCGGTTCTGTGTGCTGTGTTTTAAACAGACAGGCTAAAAATGCATCGTTTGAACTGAACCGTCCAATATGTGACCGTGCCAATATAATATGCCGAAAGAAAGGAAAAAATATTTCAGTCGCAACCAGAGCTGAGCTGACAGGAAGTGAAGGAGTGCGTCACCGGCGAGACGGTCCAGCATCCACTTAATGGCACCAGGGAGAGGGCTAAGTTGCAGAAATCACTTTGTCCCCTTTCAAGAACAACAACACAAATAAATTATATATATATATATATATATATATATATATATATATTACAAAACAGGCTACATAAATCAAATAAAATTAATGACTGGTATTTACACATATAGGGATAAGGGACTTGATGCAATTTTATAAACATTTCCAGAAATTAACAGCAAAATCTGTGAAATGCCGTCGACAATGATACTGCTTCATTCTGAGAAAATAGTTTAATAAAAAATTATTTGCATTAACAGACTGCCCTCTGCTGTCGGGATGACGCAATTGAATTTTACATTTTTTAAAATTATACAGAAACATACGAAAATGCATCCAAACTGATTATAGATGTTAAAAGGTTTAGAAAAAAAATGAACGACCTGTTTTTTTCTAGTTATTGGGACTGCAAAAATATCTAATATCACATTGTTGAAATGTAAGGCAACGGGCACAAGTCTATTCTGACCACTAGATGGCAGTGTTGGGTAGGAAAATAACTGGAAAACGAATAATATTCCAAGATCGGTCTTGTAAGGATGTGAATCGTCCCTTCCTGTTTTACTACACTGTGCTACCGTACTGAGACACATTGGAGCCGCATAAGACACCCAGGTCTCGATTATGTCTGCTTTTCTGCCTATGCCGTCAAAGACAAGGACATTTTTGGCGTGAAATACATCGTAATGTTTATTTATTAACGCTATATATCGCTGCCGTTGTAATTTATATTTGACTAGTTGGTAAACTAGCTTAAATTTGTATTGAATCGCCACAGCCCTTTTTCCTTTTCCTATTTCAATGATTGTCCTAGCCACAATCTCATGGCGGAGACTAAAATAATTTATCATATCGACGAGGAGGAGACTCCTTATTTAGTGAAACTGACAGTTCCTCCGGAGAAAGTGACTTTAGCGGATTTCAAAAATGTCCTCAACAATCGCCCGGTCAACAGCTATAAATTTTTCTTTAAATCTATGGATCAGGATTTCGGGTAAGTCCCTGAACTGGATTCTTTCTCCTGTTTTTTTGTTGTTCAGCGCTTGTACTGCTGGCAGCCTCTCGATCGTCTGCGCTAACAATATTTTCCTTTCATTTACGATGATTACTAAATAAGCCCCGTGGCATTTTAAACAAGGACTGCGTTGAGGTCACATCGTCCTGCTTTAATTAGCCGAAACTAATTGTGTAAAAAGCCTGATTGGCACCTGTCTGTGCATTCACAATTTCACTATAAGCCTGTGACAGATGAAATGATTGTCGTTGCGATTCGGCGAATCAGTATGCACAAAAGCAACTGATTGCTGTTTTTGAGTATTAATGCAAAATATGATACGAATTGTTTAGCTATACGTAATGATTTTTACGTATTTCCATGTTCTTGTATTGATGTTTGTATGTTGTGTATCCTGGTAGCAGCTTTGCCACTTGTTCGCTTGGGCACTCAAGTTTGAAAAGCGAATCACGACAAATACATATTTATGTAATAGTATTTTCGTTATAATCCTTGACTGATAAATTGACAAATTAACACGCCAGCGGAAATGCTGGCTTGCAGAAGAGAGCATATAGCTATTAGAATACAGGGTTATTACCCGTGATTTGTAACCAAGTATTTTAAAGCAATTGCAAATGTAAATAAAGTTAACGTGAAAAGGCGAGTGGAAAGGCATACATATTCTCGGCCGAATAAAACATTTTGCAAATGACACAATTGCTTGGATACTAACACTCTTTCCCCGGAAACGTCGGTACACATGTATGCCATGTCAGAAATGCATTTTATAGCCCCATTAAGAAATATGCGCCTGTATCACTGCTTTATTTGCATGGTGGTTGATGAGCAGGCGTGGGTGGAGGCTTTATTTTTGACTACACGCCTGTTAGCCAAAATCTTTCGTCTTGTTCGCGTGTTTTGTTCGCTTGTTGCCCGGCTGTGGGAGTGGTGACTAGGTGAACGCGACTAATCCTTTCTGATTTTAAAGCCCGGCGTTGCGGCGTCGGGCGTCGGGCGGCGGGTGCAGCTTCGCCCCGCGCGCTCCCCACCCGCGTGAACCGCGCGCCGCCCGTGTCGCCTTCACCCTCGTAACGTTACGCTACATCGCGAGTCGCACGCCGCGCTCCCGCCTCCACCCCGGGCCTTAATCCCTCATCCACCCACCCGGGAGCGGAGCGCTGCTGTCGGCGCGGACTAGGCCGCAGAACTGCTGGAATGCCCGGAGTGCAAACATGGCTGCCCCGGAGCGCAGGGCTGAGGAGCGACGGGGCCTGTGCGGATCACCGAGCACCTCTGTAGCCCATAAACGAAAATGAGAAAAAAATAATAACATTAAGTCACCTGTCATCATTAATCTATACCTTATTTCCAATGGCGGCATCCCGAGATTTATTTCCATGAACGCGAGCTATTTTTAATTTGTTAATTATAATAATAAATGGCTCTGTGTTTTATTATGAACAATGTTACTATGATTTCAGTTGTATATATTTATTTGTTAATCTGGTGCGATTTACAGATAAAGGAAACTATTAATTGTATAAATATATGTATATGATGTAAGCGAGAGTAGGTGCTTCGGTCGCGCTGTCTCGTGGGTTACTGATTCATTTTATAATATTTAATTGTGATGTGCTAAAGTTTTTATATTTTATATAATCTGTCGGCAGGCGTCAGTGTGAAATGTTAGACGTGACCAGTTTTAATAATGGTCATCGATATAGTCGGAAAGTGTTACATGGTTGAACTTGTTCGAGAACCGTATTGGGCATCTCACAAATCTAGTGGTACAGGAAGGCATATATAGGCGTGAAAATTACTCAGTAATGTAATTTAATCGTGTCTTTGTTTGGCCATGTGGACTTTAACAAATAGTTATTTTTTTTCTTAGACTTTGATAAGTCTCATCAGAATCCTCCCAAAGAATGATATAATTAATTCCCTCTTTGAGTGACCCAAGGGGTGACAAAGGTGACATGTTGCACATGGAGAGAGGTTATACTGTGAAATATGAATTTAGCCACAAAAAAGGTTAGGAATGTTAAATAACCAGTGGTAAAAGTAGTGTTATTCATAGAGAAATGTAATATGTAATTTGTCTCTGTTTTTCAAATTATGAGAACTGTCCTTAGATGGGGGCTTTTGGGCACCTGTGCTGTGAAGGTAAAAATGTTCGACTTCCTCTTTCTCGCCTTCCAGTGAGGGGGTGCTGGTTTTGACTGGAGTTTAGAGGTCAGACTGGTTATCTAACTGGTTTCCTATTACATGAGTTTATGAGGCTGGCTGCATTCGGCAAAGCTCTCTTAATTTATTGTTCACTGGAAGTGACCCAAACTGCATGTCTGTCTTGTCGTTCACCTCTGGCTCGTATCGGCTCGGCCTTGGTTCAGCAGTATTGTGCACACGTGTGAACCGTTGGCGGTCAATGAAGACGTTTCACATTTCACCTTCGGCAGTCAAATCCAGCTGGCTTGAAGCAATGAGCCATTCGGAGCCTGATTTGCATTTCCAGTCTTGCGGATTGAAAGGGTTAGGGGGTGATAATTGGCCAATCTGTTTGTGCCGCGGTGTAGGTGACTCTGATCGCCTGGTCTCGTGAGATCCGCTTAAAGCCGTCTGTGGCAGGGCGATCACGTGACGCGCCGCACTCAGACCGGCGGGGTGGGAGTCAGGTGCCGCTGTTTCAGCTGCCCCAAGATCAGGCTGATTCCCAGGGGACTTGCTTCCACCCTCACAAAAGAAGCTTCAGCTCGACTCTGTGACCCTCACAGGCTGTTTACGAGCATGATGGTGATAAGAAATATTCTACCGCTGCAGACTGGGGCTTTTTAGTGCTTAAGGCTGCAGGTGGGAGAAGAAGATGTATCGTCTCTTCGCTGTTACTAAAGGAGCATAAATTTCCTCAAGAAAGACAGAAATATGGTCTTTACCTCCATATGCAGCAGAGGAAGTCAAAGCTGACTCAAAACGTGTTTTGAAATACAAAGAATTGTTTTATTTTTTTGCACTGGCTGAATCTACACTGTTAGCATGCAGGTTAAGACACAAACCACTGTACTTAATGGGTCCAGGAATCTTTGGCAGCACCATGTTGAACTGGGACTACAGCTCTGGACGGTGGAGCCCCCAGCCAACCATGGCTAGGCTTCCACATCTATTTTTATTTATTGGCTTGAGTTTTTCCATGTTAGAAAGGGGAAAACTGGTGCATTTGGCATTTGATTTTGCTGCATTTTTCACTTGCATGACATTGTTTTCCACCACATCTCTGCATGTAACATAAGGAATACCTGTAAACTGGTAGTTATGCCTTATGAGGGGACATTTCTGGGTGTCTGAAATTTTGGGAGCCGGATAACTTGTGTCACAGCTGTGGGCAGCTAGGCTGAGAATTCGCCTGGGCCCATTTGTTCCGAGAACCTATAACGTTCCCTGCATAAGCTGTGTTGTGACTTTGACGCCCCAGATGGAAATTTGGCGGATGAGGCCCTGCATGCCGCCCCAGTGTCATTTGAGTGGTATTTCCCAAGTGGCCAGGTGCATCAACCCAACAATGGTTAAAGATGGCTGTTGACATGTACTAAAACACAACATAGTTAAGTGTTTGGAATTGTAACTGTTACGTTGTTGGTCCTTCCAAAGTTGCTTCAATTAAATATCTAACTAGTGTAAAATTGTAAGGTGCCCTGCAGCCTGATGTGCCCAGGATGTACCTTGCCCAGTGCCCGTCCTGAGATAGACTCCAGAGTACCAGAACTATATAACTGGGTAACCAGTTGCTGAAAATGGATGGATGGAAAAATATTAAACAAGCTGCAGCCTCTCTTGTATCTTGCACTGAATTTAACCACTGAAAGTCGATGTAAACATGTTTGCAACAACAGTGTTTGTTTTTCCCCTTCTACAGCAAAACACAGCTGATGGCATCCCGAAAATTAACATAATTTAGCATGTCGCCATAGTATGGTGTTTAGTGGGAGTTTTGGGGGGAAATACTGATAGGCCATTCCAAGGTGAACATAAGTGAAAAATACATGGATACCTCGACCAAAAACAGCTAGTTAGAAAAAACTCTCACTTTGGACAACCATAATATACAAGGTGGCTCAGAATGACATTTATGGGTAGAAGTTTTGCAAATAGCAAAGGGTGGATGGTAACTGGAGAACAAATGTGAGCTCTAGTTTTGGCCAGAACACAGTTTAATGTGAAATACAATAAAAGAATAGTGAAATTAACGTGTGAATAATAATTTGGCAGTGTCTAGTTTTCAGAGATTTTGCTTGCTGCAGTACCTAGACATGCTTGTCTGACATGTAACTGTAGGATTCCTTCATTTGGGGTCTCCTGAAGAGATTTTCACCTGACTGTTAGGGTGAGATTACTGATCTCCAATTTAGGGCGTGGAATGGGGAAACTGAGGTGTGATACAGGTGTGTTTTATACTTTTCAGCTGACTTCAGATTAAAAACATCCCTTGCAAACACAGATGATGGCAGTGCTGTTGGTGCAGCTGAACCCTGCAGTAGCTGTGTGATGTTAGAAGGCTGGAATCGCAGCTTTTCATTTGTGTTTCACTGTGATGGGAGAGGTGGAAGGTGACAGGTCTCGGCTCCACCCCTCCGTCTCAGCTTGCCTTTAATATGTGCACCCAGTTCAGCTGGGAGGGGAGGCTGTTTCCTCGCCCTGTCCTATAGCTGGGTACAAACCAGCACTTAGCAGAGACGCTTGCTAATTGCACTGCCTAAGGACGTACTCAAGCGGGAGGCCATGTTGCCGTAGGGGCTCTATGGAGACGCCCAATAAAAGCCATGCTCAATTCACCAGAAAGTTTTAGTGGCTTTTCAACACTGTGGCGTTCCTCCTGCAGATCATATCGACGGACTCGATCATCATGTCATGGCAACCAACAATAACTGTAATTACCGGATGTCTTGTGGACAATGTGAAAAGAATACTTTACATTTTACTTTTTTTTTTTGCTTGATTTTTCTTCT